AATTTTTCTCTACCTTTTGCTTTGCCCGTTTCTTCGTATTTTCATCCATCCAATCGTTTTCGTTTAGCATATCCAAAAATGCTTTTCTCACCTCTTCAATAAGCTCCTTTACGATATATACTGCAACAAATTTATATCTCTTAAATGCGCCTATCATCCTTATTGGGAACTTACTACTTTCGAAATCGAAATGTCGTTTGAGAAAATGCTTCCCTGCTATATCATAAAACATATTAACTGTTGGAGACACACATTCATCTGTTCGATCCTTGCCTTTTAACCCGTATATTTGAGCCGCGAACTCCTACATAAAGACATGAGTTATGACATTGATAACGACTAAACTTGTAATCAATAGCCTAACCTCCATCAGAAGATTAATTTTATCGCCGAGAAAGTCGCTAAAGTGAAAAATCACCTGAAATGCATAGACTCTCAAGATAAGCTAAGTAATAAATAACTCTTAGGCATATTGGTATACTTCTGAGGCAAAGAGTAAGTGAGCCTACCATCTTATAATTTGGAGAGTAAAAATATATGGCGAGTTAATAGCACGAAATTTTGCAAACCTTCCAGTCAAGATAATCGGAAAGAGTCTGATCATCCATGTTTGACAATAATTCCTCCATTCTTTCCACAGTTGAAACTTGAGATATGCGGACCTTTCTAATCCTAGGTGGGTATTGGCGTTCGGGTGGAATAAAGGAGGATATGTAGCGGATCCAGTCAATCTGTCAACAATGCATATAGAAAGAATGTATGTAGGAATTAGTCTTTATTGTGGCTCTCTCATTTCCTAATTGCTCTCTAAGGCCTTATATTGAAATGATAGCCCTTATATATTCTGGCTCATAACCAGAATATATAAGGGCTATTATTTCAATATAAGGCAAAATCGAGCGTCAACAATATAGCTTTTCTTTCAAATTTACCGTGATAAAAAGCTTATCAAAAGAGAATAAGACTTATTGAAATCATATACCTTATTAGACCTACCGATCTCAACAGCTCCTGCAGCTCCAAGACTGTTACAGATATGGAATCAGTATCAAATTCGGTCTCTTTCCTTATCTGTAACAACAACGGTAAGATCAATGCAGTGACTCGAACTTCTGAGTAAGAAGGCATTTAAAAAGATAATTATAGTCAACATTTTGGAGTAACATCTACTTACACCCGTTCTGGCAAGACCTATTTTCTACAGTAATTTCTGCAGTGATTGTGGCAGAAAGGTTGAGGCTGAAGTTAAACAGAATCAAAAGAGTTTTTGTTGAGATGTGTCATAGGCTCGCACATAACCTTTGAGCGCGTAAGAGGTTAATATTGTGAAATCAAAATATTGGCTTATTGGCCAGTTATAATTAGATAACTCTTGACAACTATTGTCTGGGAAATGTTTCTCGACCGTAAATCAGTTTCGCATGAGAGTTTTGCTAGCATAGGCAAAATTACTTCATAAGGTACCTCTATTCCAGTTATTTTTGCTCAAAAAGAAAAAATGTAAATTTTGACAAACTTAGCGCTGAATACAGATGTACGTTTTATCTCTAACTCGCCTTTATCTAATTATCGATTGAACTGAGAAAAATTTTCTTTAAAAAAACAGAAGAAAATTACTTAAAGTATAAGCGTATTCAAAAAATGTGATAGACACATTTTCTCTTTAACAATTGTTCAATTACTCAGTTCAAAAGTATCAGCTGTCATGGTCAAATGAACAATGCTAAATGTTAGAAGATGTTCACCTTAGCCAGGGTTTGATCAACTCGGATTAGTGAGTCTACTCTTCTGAGATGCTCCAAATAATTCCTTGATATGAACTCTGCTCCTCGATCTTCACTCGCAATGACTGCTAAAATTTTGAATAGGACATCTCTTGTTGCTATGAATTCATGCGAGTAGGCTGGATCAAAGTAGATCTGAGCTGGTAGCATAGACGACGAAGGGATTATCTGCAATGCTCATTATAAAAAGAAACAATTTGTAAACAGGACAATCGTCAACCTGTAAGATATTCCTTGTCGAGTTATCCTCATCTGCAGAAACAGTAAGCTCATA